GCGATCGAGCGATTCGTCACCGGCTCGCCGGTGGAAAAGATTCCGAGCGCGAGTTTTTACCCCTCGAGTACGTTCAGACGTAAAAAGCGATCACCGCGAGGACGTAGGGAAGCTCGTGTTCCGGACGCACGCACTCTGCGGAACGAGGAACGAAGGTCGCGGGCGTGCACGAGCACCGAGACGACTCGTGGCACGGTCCTCGCAACCGGAACGATGGACTCGTCCGCGCGAGGGAGGAGTCCGACCGGGCTTCCCGATTTCACGCGCGACCCAAAAAAAATGTCGATCGTACCATTCGGGACCCCGATCGGCGGACGAAGTTCGACACGCTCTCCCACCCGTGCGCTAAAATAGCAAAGGAAAATACCATTTGGCATTTAGCTGCCGATTCGCGATCCCAAATCAGGCCCGGGAAGCCCTGCCTCACGACGTCTCGATCCGGTACGGCGGGGGGTCACGAGGCATCTACCGTCGAGGCCACCGACGGTTCCCCGTCGCCTTTCCGACATTTCTTCGCTGCATCCTAAGAACGTCCGAGATCGAAGCGAGCGATGCGGAAATCCGTGGGACGTCCCTTGGCCATCCCGAGGAGACGTCATCCGAGATTCCTCGGGACTCTCGCCGGGTGCTTCCACGGGATGCGCAACGGTCCTCCGATTTTCGACGGGACTCCCCGTCGACGAGCCGACGAGGCAGCATCCCTCGAAAACCGAGAACCCGTGGGGAAGCGCGAAAGGAAAGCCGAGGACCGTCGTCGACGGCGTCCCGCAGAGAACGCTCTCGCGGTGTCTCCGGGACGTTCGCCAGAAGGCCCGCGAAAGGTCCGCGACGTTCGGCATACCGAGGACGCCCGAATGCGATCTGCCGCGGGACGATGATGTCGTCGTTCGGTCGTCGTTTCGTCGTCACGATACGATCGGTTTCGAAACGATTGCATATCGATTGCGAGGATTTTTTACGAGGAGCTTCTAAACCGATTTTCACGAACGAGGGAGTGCGAACTCCTGTTGCTCTGTGTGCATTTTGATCATCAAAATTAAGCGTACCGAGCTACAGATGAAAAAATTAATATGTAGCTCTTCTCATCGAAAACGAAAACAGAACTTGAAAAAAAAGTTCTCTATCTGGACAAATAGCAAAACGAGTCCATTTGATTGGGGCTAATCGAGCGAGGCGCCTTCCGGAGATTTCGTTTATCGATCTGGTTTTGAAAGTAGTAACAAAAAAAAATTCAAAATCGGATATAAACAGACGAACCGAGATTTAAAAAAAAAACACCTGGACCGTGGGGACCACGGGAAGGAGCGGTACGGTTGCTGAATCGAGAGCGCGAAACTTTCTCGGCATGCGAGGGGAAGCCCAGGGGGAAGCCCAGGGGGAAGCCCAGGGGGAAGCCCTCCTCGCGCTTCCTCGTCTCCGACTCACGATGAAAAGGAAACCCTGCTCTGCGGTGGCGAGACGACAAGGATTCCACCGCGAGGTCCCCTTCCCGGTCCCCTCGGACCCCGGGTCGGTCGAGCCCGAGACGGGAGGCGGTGCCGGATTCGCGATGGTTCTTCCGGAACGGTTTTTTTTTTCTCACTCGCAGGAATTATCCAGTTCTAGCGGATCCGTAGGCGGTGAGACGCTCGGAACGGGGTCCGGCCACCACCCACACGAAAAGCGAGTCAGAGGTCCGGGCTCTGGTAACCGGACCGACCGACCGGGTTACAGGGGTTTCCGCTCCAAGAAACGTGCCGAGTTCACCCACCCCCACCCTCACCCTCCTCCCCCCTACTCACACTCGACGGTCGTGCCCCTCTTTCCTCGGCCTCGAACGAGGAAGACGGCAGAGGAAAACAACGGCAGGAAGATTCGCAATGGCGGTAACGCAGAAACTCCTCGTCGATCCATCGAGTCCACTCGAAATTTAAAATCGTGTTCGCACCCACTCTGTTTCTCGCTTCCACTAAGAGCACGGAGCAGAGGAAATCGCAGCCATGGTAAATTACGGCAATTTAGTATCGTCCTCTACCGCGAGGATCGATACGAGCCGACTCCACGAAATGGAGCAATCGGTGGAGCCAGTAAAAATATAAACGCGATCGTGCAAGTAACGGCGATCGCTCGGCCGCGAACGATCCGGAGATCTCCGCGGCGAATACGAATTTCTCGACTTCGCGTCTCACCGGCGAGATTCGGAAAATCTGGGACCGAGCCCGGTCGGGAAGGAACGACGAGACGACGACAATGTTTCCATCGGCATCTCGAGAGGAAATCGTGCCGCGATCGATGACTCTCCAAATCGACGAAACGGTACCGGATTTATCGGTCTAAAAATGAATTTACCACCGGATTAGGAGCCCGGGTGACGCAAGACGAGCGCAATGTTACTCGACATCGCGGAAGTTATGCGTTTGATTGTCGCTCGAGAGCGTGAGAGATGGAAGCGGATCCCGTCGGGTGAAGGAAACGGCTCCATCGGGCTCCATCCTCTCCCCTCGGCGTCCTCCGCACGAGTGAAGGGAAACGGCTCCATCCCTTCCCCCTCGGCGTCCTCCGCACGAGTGAAGGATTCCAGCGACTCGGCTCGACGGGATGCACTCGAGCGTCGACTTCGTCGTCCCCGTCCGATCGGCGAAGGAGGCGGAGGACGAGAGGAGACGCGACGATCCGGAGACCGAAGCCGCCGCGAGTGCAGATTCAGAGTTTTTTTTTTTGGTTCGGGGAAGGGGAAACGCGACGGACGAGTTCTCTCTTCTCGCTGCGTACGTCGGCGTCGACGACGGGAGGATCTCGTGCGGGAGGAGACGATCGCGAGAGCCGCGGAAAGGGGCCGCGAGGTTTCTCGGTGGTACGGGGTGGTCCAAAAATACGTTAGCACAGACTGGGAATCGTTCGGAACGTCGGATCGTATTTAAATACAAAATGAACATATACGTACATTAAAATGAGAACGTACCCACAAAATACGGTGACATTACATTGAATTTGATTCTTGAAACTACCATAACGATATTTTCCCCTCACAGAGGTAATATTATTTGGGCCACCCTGTATTTGAACCTCTTGTCCCCCCCCCCCCCTCCGCCTTCACCTCTAGCTTATCGTCTTACTCATTACTCTGCGGCACAGACGGTGAAATGTCCCGTCACCTGAGAGAGAACAAACGGGAGTGTCCAGGTTCCGAAGGATCTGCGTTCATCGACATAAAGTCTGGATATAAGTAAAACATTATTACTTAACAAGGATACGAATGGAATTTGCACAGGTTCTTGTACTCCGTGTTTTTCCCGGATGCTTTCGACCGATTTCATACAAACCCGTGAGTACGGTAAAGCGTAGCAGTTCTTCGCTTACTATGTTAATTCCGAAATGGGAGACGAGAAACTTGTACGAGGCGACTTCATCCATACAAACAGGGTCGGCCCTAGCTATTTCTTCGCGCTAAACCCCCCACCCCACCCCACACAAACGTTTTGATCGGGATGGGCTTCCACTTTCAGAAGTAAAACCGAGGATGGGAGCCATCGATGCTTTATTCTTTGAATGCTTCATTCAGTCACGTTTTGCGCTCTGAATTCGTGCCCTTGGCGGGAGGCACGAGGGCTACAGGCACGAAGGCTACAGGCACGAGGGCTACAGGCACGTTCAGGGTAGCCTCACTTGCGAACGACGAGAACGAGTCACGAGGGACGGATTCCAAACCGGGCATCGAAATGGAGATCCGGGGAACACACGCGACTCCGTGTTTTCGTCGGACGCGCGAGAAGACTCGAGACCTTTCACGTCGCCGCCCGCACGGAGGTCGTGGAAACTGCCGTCTGCTTCCGACGGGATGGCGCGCAGAGCGGATACGAACGCGAGAGCGCCGCGACCGGCATCGTACTCCTCGACGACGGTTCGACGTCGAGTCCATCTCGATCCGATCGCCGCGTCGTGAAGTGCAATCATCGCGTTTCTCACGCGGTGTCGTCAGAAATTCGGTGAAAAGCAGAGAACAAAATACGAATCGTGGTAACTACATGCTTCGGTCGGACGAAAAATGCGCAGGCGCTATGTCGGTATCGACTGCACTCGTTCGGGAACGGATTTCGACGAGTGACTCCTTTAGCAGTCGGAAACTGAATTACAACACGCCGGACTTCCTTCGATGCACAAAGCACTGTGACCGCCATAAGGGGGCCTGTTGCCCCGGGCCCCACTCTTCCAAGGGGCACCCCGAAGGGAATGAAAAACGTCTAGTATTTGTGTTAAGTGAGTGGGGGGGTGGGGGGGGGGAGCCCCATGAATCAACTTGCCCCGGGTCTCGCAACTTCTTCATCCGGCCCTGTGCTTAAGCGATCAAGCTGTTCTTTCCGATCGCATGGTGTTGCCAGCTAACAGGTGTTCACGCATTCCCTGCAAACATACACTGAAAGTATTGGACGTCCACCGGTAGGGAATTATTTTCTATCGCGATTTTCTCTTTTTCATTCGACTGACCCTCGTCTACCATGGTCCTATATGAATAAGCTCGGACGACCCGCTGTCCCTTTGGAGCCCAGGACGGCAACGTATCGAGTCGCATTAAGGAAAATGACGTTTCCATCTGGATTTCTAACTTCCATTTAATCCTTAGCACCTTCTAATGAGCCCTTTCTGAACGATACTATGGTTCCGTACAGAATACTAACCTTACCTAGATGCGCATTAATGAAATTGCGAGGACTACCTCTGTAAACCACCTTTTTCAAAGGGAAGCAGATCGATACACAAAAGCTCACCCCCCCCCCCCCAAACTATTAACACCCAGTTGGGTAAAAACAAAAAGTAATATATAATCGAAACCAAGACAACCTCCTGAACGTGTAAAAGGTGTCTTGAGGCTGGAACGTGTATGGCCTTCACAACACTACCTTGGCAGTAAATGTGTTAAGACCAGAAATCCAAAAAGTAACCCCCCCCCTGTGTTCCCCATGCTAGATGAAGCAGGAATCCAAGGTATCATATGTTTCTCACAGAAATGAAACTTAGGCTCATTTCCTACGGGAAAACACCTTTATCCTCAGACCTGTGAAGAGGAACACTCCAATAGACCAGACTACAGACACCAGGACATTTGGCTAAATGCAAGAACATGTGAAAATGCACCTGGGATTTGAATGATTCTAGAAAAAAGCATAATATTGCACTTGAGATGGGGATGTTGAGAGAAGTAGCACCATGCAAGAAGTACATGAGCTGTACATAAACAAGAGAACCAGACAGAAGGATAGAGGCAGAGAGGCTAGTGACACACAAGATGGAAGGGAAACAAAGGAGATTGACTTCATTCCTTAATATGCATGATCCTTGATGAAGAGGCCTTCCCCAGCGGCAGCCCCTGCCACACTACCAGCTTGGTATGTCCCCTTTGCAGCTTCACTATTTGCCTGTAACATCGACATCCACTTCCCTTCAAACACACGTCCAACCGTTTTCTTAGAGCGAGGAACGAATAATGCATGATCCTACCGTTTCCCATGGGTGTATCAGTGGATAAAGCAAGGGAATAAATGAGGCATGCACAAATCTAACTACAGCAAAAATAAATGATAAAAAGGAATGGGATTCCATGCTTCAAAAAAGGGTAGGCCTAATGAAAGCAAAAACAGGGACCAAACCCAAGATCTATTGAGAGCTATGGAGAGAAGGGGGAATGCATGGGTTGCTCTCTAATAGGCATGAGACTTGACAAACAGGGACGTCCCTCCGGACACAGACTGCAGGGACCCGGCAACATACTTCCCTTCGCATGCCAAGGCGTTGGCCTAAGGTACATAGGGGTCACACAACATCAAGTCCCAGCCTTGAATCCTTGCAAGATAAATAGGGGCTAAAATATGGCAAGGGAAATGCATTTTCATGTTCCCTCACCTACATCATTGAAGCTTTCATGTGTTTTCTCCAAATTGGCTGTTTATACAACCCAGTTCAATCATGTAAAACTTTCACATTGAGAATATCAAATGGTTAATACAAGCCCCTCAAAAAGGAAATCCATTTTCATAAACATTTTTTGTCCTCTTTACATCATCACTAGATACAGAGATCAATTGTAGTCCAGCCACAATCAAATGGAAAGAAACCTCTCTGCAGTTAGGAGACTGCTTCAGGGTAAAAATGAGAGCTGGAAATGACCTTAATATTTTATTTTAAGTGCACCCCAAATGGGTATTAAAATAGGTACAGTTATTCTTTTTCATACTCATTGCTTAGAATTCAATTGCAATCATGAATTCTATACATTTCCCCCAGGATAAATAATTTGATATTACAAGAACTGCACTCAATTTTGAGTTTTCATTGATATATGCCTATTATTAGCTGCTTAAGGTTATCATATAGCCTGGCTCCAATGTAATTAAAATAAATGGTGTCAACTTTACAGAGAATGAAGCTCGAGTTCATCAAGATGAACTTTCTTCTGTAGTTGCAGTAACTTTTCAATATGAAAACTCTGTTCCTATGTGGGTAGGGTCAGAAAATAAAGGTAGACTTAATTCAAAAGGGACACGAGGTGATTTGCTATTGTGGAGGTTCTTTGGGGTTGCAGGGGAAGCCATTGCACCAGGGTTCCAAAACACAACTGCACACAAACTAAAACTAGGCATGCTAATATCAGGGGTCACAATACAGAAATGTGCAACATCAAAATAAAATGATGTTCATGGGGAAAAGAAACAAGGATTGAATAAAAATGCACACACAAAACAAAAATCCCCAATATCTGTAGATTCAGTCCCACAAGACCCAGAATGTATGAGCTTGATCCAAGGAGCTTCCAGAACCCAATTGTCTGAAGATTTTTGCCCTAATGGCATAAAAGTTAAAACATCTGAAATTGTCCTAAATATTTGTCTTCTTAGCCCCTTCCCCCCAGCTTGAAACAGCCAAGTGTGAGATCCCCGTTTTAACTCTTTGCAAAGTACCACCTCCACTGGAAAACAAATTTTAAATTTATTTGACAACACTCCACTGGACACCTGTAACCCTGGTTCTTCTCTTTGGTCTGGGCAAACAGCAAAAGGTTACTACACAACTAGACAAACCTTTACTGTAGGTGTACAGATGTACACATGTGGACATACCTTTGCCCTCTTAAGAAATTCCTGTTGTCCAGCACCTACATTCTCCTTCTTGCCACTCCATGCCTTCAAGGCAGATGCTTGCAGAGCACGGCCATAAGAGAATGTCAGTTTCCATGGCTTCTTTGCTGGGTACTTATTGATGGCATCAAGGTTGATGCTAGCTTCTTCCTCAGACTGTCCTCCAGACAGGAAAGTCACACCTACACAAATTTATACCATATTTCAAAGTATTCATTAGTGACCCTGCACCTATAAAAATGTGCAAATAAAATACCAGGCATGGCAGGGGGAACGGTGCGAGCCAAGGCTTCAACCGTTGCACGGGCGATGTCCTGTGAAGTGTATTTGGTGGAGCAGCTCTGACCAGCTGTCACCATATTGGGTTTGAGAAGTGTCCCCTCAAGAAATACATGGTGATCGTTGAGGGCCTTGTAGACGAAAGCCAAGACGGTCTCGGTCACCTTCTGGGCACGATCTAGGTCATGCTCACCATCAGGAAGGACCTGCAAAGGCAGCCTATGATGTAAGACATGGGCACAGCAAAAGCAAAAAAGGGGGCAAGTGCTTAGGGTGAGATTGGAACACAGAAATAATAATAAAGTAACCTCAGGTTCCACAATAGGTACAATTCCTTGGGACTGACAGATGGAGGCGTAGCGTGCCAAGACGTTAGCATTCTCCAACATGGCCTGGTGCGATGGTGTGTTCTTCTTGATCTTCAGAACACATCGCCACTTGGCAAATTGGCACCCATCCTTTTTGTATTGGGCACACCTTTGGGCCAGGTCATCCAGACCCTGTGTCGTGCATTCGTCTTCGGAACCCATGAGAGGAACGACGCCCTTGTCGACCTTGATCCCCGGAATGATCCCCCTGCTCTGGAGCACCTTGACGAAAGGAGTCCCATCGTCGGTCTTCTGGTAGACGGTCTCGTGGAACAGGATCACACCCGAGATGTAATCGTTCATGGCCTTGTCAGAAGTGAACAGCAGCTAAACAGAATAAAGAATCAATTAGTGAAGCAGCAAGGCCCAAATGAGTACAATATGAAGACTTGGAATGAAAAATTCAGATATTGGTTGAATTTTACATATTAATCAGACTTCCATAAGGTCAAAGCTCTGAATTTACAGTAAGAACTTAAAAGAATATCCCTGTGACTTATTGATGGGTCGTATACCTGTCTGTACTGTCTCCTGTTCTCCTCGGTATTTTCAACCCCAATCCCAGCCAACCTGTTGCCCATGGTGGATGTGGATTCATCAGCAGCCAAAATGCCTTTCCCAGGGGCCACAATGGCATTTGCAATGCTCTTCAACTCCTCCTGGAGTTCACGAGAAGGGTAGCTGAAGTAGGTAGTCATTTTTGCAGACAGCTGCTGCCACAAATGAGTTGGATATCTCCTAGGAAAAAAAAAAAATTAATTTCACCGTTCATATCAAAGTGCTGAATGAAATTCATGCTCCTCCAAACGTGACTCATTCCCAAATGGTCCAGCCTAAGATGGCCGGCCAAAAAATAATAACCGCCTAAACCGCCTGTGGCTGGGCCACATAGGAATAATTATGTAGTTTCTGAATCTTTTTCTTCAGGGAGATCTTGAGCTGTTGTTTAGATTGTCACCTCGGCTTAACTCAAATTTACGTCAGCCCAAGGGACCAAATTAATACTCTTCTCATATTGCGTCCGACGCTTTTGCAATTACTCTGACACAGGAGGCCTTCGCCGATACCCGTCAAAGGCACTTCCCATTTATGTGTGTCACATTAAGAATTCTGGTAAGGTTACCAAAGCGTTACGAATACGAATGGAGACATCCTGCTTATTAGAACCAACTCTATCACTTCACGGGGAATGGGCAGAAGCCTGGGACCCACTGGCTAATTTTGCCGTGAATTAGCCTAAAAAAAAAAAAGAACCACGAATCACTTCTTAAAAACAATGCTAGTGAACAATGGCAAACGAATAACGAACCGCACCGAACTTAATGCGTCTTATTCTAGATCGAAGCCCAGACAAGTCGCGTCATCCCTATCGATCGCCGCAAGTCGAACCCTGCGTAGTCCGTGCCCAGTTCCGGACCCAGAACTAGGCCTACAACAAAGAACCACCACCGAGAAACTTAATCTGCCCCCATTTTCGACTTCACTTCCCGCGGAGAGAGGAAAAGATGTGAACTCACGGGATGGAAGGAATGAAGTGGAAGGGCGAGCAGGGCAAGGGAGACGAAATACGTCCTTCCTCCGACCTCTAGAAAAGGGCGGGAGAAGAAGGAAACTGGAGGGGGCGCGCTTGTGCAGTTATGCCAAGGTCACCCCGGACGTCCTCCACCGATTCGCATTCCCATTGCGACTTTAAAGCCTACGAATCGGAACGTACGTCACGCCCCCTTTCGACCCGATTCTCACGTTTGACCGACGAAAACGTCCGTAACCTCGTTCGAGATCCCTTCGTGCACGTCGGTACCGAACACGCGGGCGTTCCACGATATTCGAAGCGAGTCCCTCGGGACGACGGCGGCTCTGCTTCTGGTATCGCCGCTCGATATTCCCGTTCCACACTTAATCTTTGGAGTCGAGGATACGAGGAAGAAGTTGTGGCATGCCTTTGAATCGTCTCGATTTTCTGCCCTTGTTGCCGAGTGCCCTGGAAAACCTTCGGTCGTTCGATTTCACGTGACGGCAGCATGATCGGTACCTCGGTTCACCGAGTCACCTGGCTCGGTTCCATCCCAGCCCTCCACCCCCGTCGTCCTCCCTCTCCTTCCCCCACCCACATCCACCCTCCTTCGTCTTCCATCCTCCCTCTCCCTCCCTCCCCCCTCTCCCTCCCTCTCCCCTCTCACCCGAAAACAAAAGCATCTGTAGTGGAGTTATCAGAAACTATTATCTCGACGTCGTCCTTCGCATGTCTCCGTTGCCCCATGATGAATGATCTCGCTTTCGATTCCATCCATACTCGACGTAGGCGTGGATCTTCATCGCATCACGTACACTGTGCCGTGAGCCGTCTCGGCGCTCTTCCGTAAAGTCAAAATAAAAATGCTACGATCGAACGAATCATGAAGTACCTACTTTCGCGGTGGAATTTAGCTCGGAAAAGAACGATTCCATGAACTCCACGCCGATTAAAGCACAAAATACTTTGGAAAGTACTCCGAAATGATATAAACGAAATCCTACGGAGAAATATTGGTGGAAACCCCTTCGGTCCACCGTGGCATCACGCTCGCATCCCCGAGAGGTAAATCTCGACGAGAGACGTTTCACCTTTGAAAGAGGAAAGGATTTGAGCTTTCGATCCGGTTTCACGGATTGCCTCGCGGAAACTCCAGGAATTTTCCCGTCGATTTGGATCGGTTGGATTCCGAAGGTGGTGGCAACACGTCGTGAGACGTCGACACTTCGACCGGTCGACTTTTTTATGATCTCAAATTTCACATGGATGCTATCGTGCTGATTTTCTTCAAGCTTTGCATCGTGTAGATGATTTAAAATTGTCGTTGAGGGAATAATGTATCGATGGCTAGCAGCACTGTTCCCATTGCAGCACTGTTTCTGATTTCGCTGCTTTGGCAGTTTCCATCAAAGACTGGTACATTTTCTTGCCGACAAGTTTTTTTGGCTGATGGCTGCTTATTAATTTTCTCTTTCTTGGGGAGGGGGTGGCTCTTCCTGCAAGAGCCATTGTGACCTGAGAAATGCCTGTAGCTCATAAGAGACAACGACAATGATTTTTGATAGGCCGCATCCCCATTACTACGACGGATGCAGGAATGACTCAATTCCTACTTCTGTCACTGATTTAGCTAGGGACAATTATTTTAAGACTGCGGATGTGGCTTAGTTGGATGACGTGTCGGACCCTGCAAGAGGGCGTACGGTGCATCCAATCAAAAGTCACTCTATCGCGAAAATAATCATTTATGTTCATGGAAGGACGTGTGAGAGGGAAGTGATCCCAGGAACATACTCGTGTACCATCTTTCCTTATCGTGCATACCAGTGGTTCTCTTATACTTTCGCATTATCTTGTCTCCTTAGTCGGCGGCAGCTAGCAGAAATAGGTAAACAATGGTAATGGAAGTCATTACATCGCGAGATCTCTTTTCCTTTTGCATTGAAAATGAGGCAGTGAAGTCCGCAGCTGAGAAGCCGTATGCTGATACGTTCAATATCGAAGGGACAATCCCAGCTAGGACCTGGATCAGGAGGGTGTCTATGCCGTCAGGCCTGTCTTTCCTGGGTGCGATGGTGCTTCTTCAGATCCATCTCCACAGCTGTCGCTTCTCCATAATTGGATCTTAATTGCTCTCGATGCACTCCTCTGATTGGATCCATAGCCAGATAGATGCTGTTATATTTAATCTTAGTGTCTCTGTGAGCTTGGGCCAGCTTAGTAATCATGATTATTAAGCTGGCTCAATTACTTTTTCATCTCAGCTCAATGAAGGGGGATATTTCGTGCTGGACATCATTTATCTCAATGCAGTCATCCTTGTTATCTGACATGGAAATCTGCCTCAATTTGTAACAGTGAGCTCTGAGAGTGATCATTGTTCTTCAGCAGCTTAATCAACATCTGCACTCATTTGGAAACCATTGGTTTCAACAACATTTCCTGAGCTCCTACTCCAATTAGTTCACATGGTCAAAAGTCACCATGACCAAAGGCTACGACATTTCAGGGTTAATTTCCATTTTCAAGATGGACAGCAGGTCCATCCATGAGCTCATGAATGACTCAGTGAAGTTTAATACTCTTCCAGGTCCTGTACAAAATTCTCTACAACATACAGTCGACTGAATATTTATTTCTGTACTGAGGCAATGGGCTCGTATAAGCACCACATGTTATTTTCAGAACATCCTATGACCAATGGAATGGTGCAATTGAAAAGGATCCAATGAACATGACTTATGTAATTTTGAGATTTTGGAGCAGCTCAGAAGCAGTGCAAAAGTGGAAATTATCCTGATAATCAGTCAAATTGATAATCTACATGTATTGGAGCTTCAAGCTGTCTTTCTCCAAAAATGAAAAACTAAAATTTGGTTGACTGGTACTTTTGGATTTTGCCTGGCTGATGAATGGATTGGAATCAATAAAGACAACCTACACTTATGGTTCAAAGATGAAACTTCATTTTCCTTTCAAGAACCCTGAGGATCTCTGAATCACAAGTTTTGCACAAAAATGTCACAAATTAACTTTTCCCTTGTAATAGATGCAGAGTATCTCTTTTCTGGACATTCACCAGATCTTTCTTCCTCATCTTCTTCAACTTGGTTGTGTTCTTGATCTGCAAAGAGAATGAAGGCACATAGTGAATTTTTAACTAAAACTTGATTTGCTTTTAGAGCTACATAACACATTCAAGGCCTATGATAAGACCATCTAGTCATGAAGGGAGATGTGATGGAGAGTAAACAGGAACAGATGCAAAAAATTATTCACAAGAAGATAGTCCTTGACAAGCAGGAGCTGTTGAACAAGGGTTAAAGCAAAGTGGAGATGATAAGGGAAGGTGGTCAATTGGTCAATGAAAGATGTGGAATTCCCTTTAATCCTCCTAACATAATATTGTCATAAATCTCAATAGGAGGTCTGAGCTCTGACTAGCTTGAAAACATGTTTAGTGATAAAAGTAAGCATTTCTCTCTCTCCTTCTCAGTATTCACAACTGAGACTATCTCACATTCAAGAGCACAACTTCAAATAGGGAAAACTCAGAGGGCTAATGAATAGACTTGCCATTGTAACTATCAGCCATAACTGATTATCCCAAAAAAACTTGGTTATTCATTGTAGTTATATTGCTATTTTCAGTCATAAAATAATAATGTATGGTACATAATTTTAATAAGCAATTAAAATAACTAATGGAAATCCTGATATTCTGGCTTTTTCCACCGACATGAGAAAGCTGCCTGTGTTCCTACAGGAATATTAATTGAGCCACCTGCCAGTTGCAATGAAACTTAACCAACAACCAATCAATGGACATAAGGAAAGCCTGGCACATGAACAGCCACAAAGATGATGTAACACTGCCATATTTACTACATTAATTTAAACTGAAAAAGTCTAAGTGAGCATAAAGGAGTACCAAGCAACTGATATAATTGCTATTAATGAAATTTTATGGATTCAAGAATCATCTAAATACAACTTCTGATTTCAGTTACTTATTGCCCATACAATAAATATACTAATTGGAAATTTAGGCAATTAATAATACAATTATTAATAGTAAATTAACCAGAAGTTACTTTAAATACCTTAAATAAATGCAAAGTTAAAACTCAACTGAATGACTGCACAAGAGTCTTACTCAAACAACTTGAAACAAGAGGCCAGTAACAGAATCATGTCTGGTATTTCCAAAGGAATGTCAAACATAGATGTTAAAAATTAAAGGTATATAACGTTAGAGTAGGGAGTGTAAGAGAAAATGCAACAAATTGAGCAGTCATGAATGTGCTAACAATATAATGATTACAATGTTTCCCACTTGAATCAGACACTCATGTGAGGAATGTCAGAAATAAGCATGTTGAAGTCAAATGAAAAACACTGTGGGAATCTTACCACTTGAACAACTTCAGCCATTCGAATATTCTCTTCCTTCCTCTTACGCCGCTCCTGAACTTGTTTCCTCTTCTTTTCAAGCCTCTGATTTCTTTCAGCTTTTAACTGCTTTTCCAACTCCTTGACTCTCTTCATATCCAGTCTCTCTTTCACCTTTTTCTCCCAGCTCTTCTTCAGTCCTGGCACTTCCACAATCCTTGATGGCCTAAGAAATGAATGACTTCATTTACTTGGAATATATAAAAAAGCAACTGGAAATAGATTAAACGCTTGGCCCTACCTTGGCTTCACAGTCTTCCAAAACCTTCCTGAAATATTTGCTCCCTTGATGATCTTACTGCTATTTTTTTCATCAATAGGTACACTTTTACTTTTAATATGTTGCTTAGACAGGTTTGGTCCAGGGCCAGGTGGTGGTTGGCGACAATTTTCTTTATCCTCAACTTCCTTTACTCCATTTCCAGATATATCAGTAGGTTCCGTTTCAGAAATTTCCATCACCGCTTCAATTGCAGGGAGCATTTTTATAACCTCTTTTACTTTGGCAGGTTTCAGTCCAGCTTCTTTTCCCGTTCCGTTGATATTTTCATCATTGCATATTTCCATGTGAGACTTTCTCGATTCCTTTTTTGAGGTAGATGGCGTAGACATCCCCTCTGGCCTCACGCGAGCTCGTCTGGGGGAGCTGACGACCTGGGCGGTCCTCGGGGAATACGTTTTCCTTCTTGTGGACACCATGATGATGAACAGCACTTCTCTGATTGCAACGAGCTACAAATGCAGCTATTGCAATTCCCAGCTGATACTATCGGAAAAACACTCCTCAGTCACGTGGAAAGAACACCCGTGCGAGGTGCCATCTTGCAATATAAAATATCTGCAAATCGCAGGGCGAGTTGTCACCGATGCATTGAGTGGAGACCTATAGGAGAAAGCCTTCATTTCAATGGCGCCCGGCGCGGCACGTGCTGCTTCCGCCGCGTTCCCGCCCCGCCGGTACACTACTGCTAATTCCTTAGATTAAATCTATGCCTAGACTTGAATTGTGTACAGTAGAAATAGCTGATAATAGGCGTATTCTTCGACTAAGCAAGCTTTGTCTAGATTTTGGGCAATTAGGTTAATCAGGAGATGCATTGCATAAAAAAATCCCATTTAACCACATTTTTTAATCACGATTGAAGCAGATTGGCTTCGGTGCATGGCCTGACAGTCGTGCTTAAGTTGGGGATTTTGCATTAAGAGTGAGCAAGCGCAACGAATATGGATGCAGGATTTGAGAGCCTGCTTCAAGCTGCTAACCAATTGACAGCTGAAGTGGATTCCATGCATGGTGAACTTCCTCGAGTGGAACGGAACCTAAAGCAGATCTTGGAGGCAGGGAAAGATTTGTGGGCGCATTCGGTGCAGGAAGGGAACCAAGACGTTCAGGCGTGAGTATCTTACGATTTTATTGTAAGTGTTTGAGGCCAAGGCTGGGAGAAACCGACAGTTTCAAATTGAGCAGATATACCTTCATCCTAAACAATTTCATACATTTCCATCCACCTCATGCCAATATTTTTATTAGCTTTTGTTTTTACACTAAAGAAATGATATAAATGCATATTTATGTACTCTTGATCTCTTTTTCAAACCTCTTGAACACTCCAACAGTATGAGACTTCATTCACTCTAGTAGCTCAAATATCCTCTGAGGTATAATATAGACAATTTATAGGTTTTCTAGGTCAAATGTGATAAGAAGAAATTCAAATTCAAATGCATCGCTGTCCTGCTTGGAAGTGTCAAAAGCAACATACAGAAAGTCTAATGTGTTGCTGTGGTGAACATAGGATTTTTGGGAAAAGCACATTTGACGCAAGGAAAGTCAAATTCAATAAATGCGCAAGGTATACCATACCTGTGTTAAGAGGAATGCCTTCTCATTGCATGATCACACCATGCTGCTTCATTGCAGTGAAGGTAGCCAGGGAACTGCCATAATAAATTCATGAAATAAAATCATTTTATCAAGATTTTTATTGTTAAGGTTGATTTGACCCCACAATGCCAGTTATACAATGGTAAAAGAAAAACAAGGATATCAGTTGAGGGTTGAGAAGAGCCTCAAATCTTCCTCAGATTTTTCATGCATGAAATCTGGCCTTCCACCCAAATGGTTGGTGGTTGCATATTCCTATGGCTAACCCTGACATATCAGTAATCGCCAAAAATGATTAATTGCAAAAGTAGCAACATATGTAAATGCACCTGAAGCCACACATTGTGAAAATGCAACAAGTAGGCATTCCCCTTAACACTGGTGTGGTATATCTTGTGTATTTGTTGCATTTGACTTTCCTACATTCACATTTGATCAAGAAAGAAGTAACAGTTCAGCTGCTGCTTCAAAATTTGATCCATCCATAACTTTCAAACTGTTGATCCAATTGAACTGAAAGTTATTTCTTGGTGTTTTTTTTGCAAGCAGTTTCCTATAGACTGCCACATTTAATTTTAAGCCCCGCATATTAGACTGCATATTGCAGTACTTTGTCATGCAATAATCCATATTAAGCCTAGTCTTGATTGGCATTCTTTCTGCACATACAGATCCATCTTGTTGGGAGCAAAAGGATATGACCTTCCCAAAGTAGCATCCAAGTTAGAGGTCCTGAAATCTGCAAAAACCTATGAAACCATCACACCTGCCAAGGACCTCGATGTTGAAGCATTCTTGAAGAATGAAATAGAAAATGCCATCCTGGCCCCAATTGAAGAGCTAAGGGAATCAGTAAGGGATTTCATTGGGGTACACAGTACAGTTGCATAATCAGTGACATCTCATATGAGCTCTCTCTCCCCACAGATGTATAAAAGACTTGAAAATGAAGTTTGGGATTCAATATACACTGAATGGGAGGAGCAGAAGCAGCGACTCCTTGCTGGTGTGAGAGGTGCTAAAGGGGGCCTTGATGTATCTCTTCAGCCACTGGTGAGAATCATTAGCAGTCAGATTCCTGTGATTTACATTTATTCCAATTGTTTTCTTCACCTGTTAAATATTTGCAGCGAATCCCCGACCTGAGAAAGTGGGTGACGGGCCAAAGCAGTGGCACTTTGGGGAGTGAAGAGTCTGCTTATGCTAAGGAAGTCTGTGACTATGTGGATGAGATTCTGGCTAAAAGCTTAAATGTCAGCCTCTTGAATCATCTCATAGCTGGTGCCAAGACACTGAAGAATAAGGTATGATTCTTCAACCTGATAAAGTACTCAAGAAGTTTGAGAAAACATAGCAAGCTTATGAATAAATTGATTGATTCCAAGGCATTGGAGGATGTTTGGAGCATGGTCAGTTTCCTTACTGAAGGTCCCTTGGGTGAAGGTGCTGATAGAGGTAATCCCAATTATCATCGCACCTTTGTGCTCCAGGCTCGAAAATTCCTGGAAGAAAGGTACTGGCATATATTATATTATAGAGCTGTTGACTATTCATCACAGCTGTGATCTGTTATGGGTTTTTTTGTGATCTGTTGGTTTATTACTAGGTACTGGTCCCATATCCAGTTTGTGGTGGAGAGAAACTTGACAGTGACATCTTTGGGTGGAGTTCCCAGTCATTATTCTCTGTTACTCAACTACATGAAGGTGGCCTCCTTGGATGTGACTGAAGGGCTTGAGGACATTAGAGTGGAAGGGGTGTATGCCTGGCCATTCATCTACATTTGCCTCAGGGCTGGCCATATCCCTGTTGCCATTGAAGTTGCCAACACAGCTGGGTAAGTGTAAGGAATGATCTATAACAGCAATGAAAGGATTCCTACAAAAATGAGAGAATCAATTTACCTGATTTTTCCATGTCTTTTGAAAAGGGCTGGATTTATGTGATATCAATGATGAAGGAAAAATTTATGAACATTAGCCCACAGTTAGCAAGGCTCAACAAGTAACTGATTAAAAAAAAATTGCACTTGTGTGACTCAAGCAAACCTGCTTCTACCTGTATTGTCTCCTATCTATCTTAGGGAATGAGATAGGCAAGTGAATAAAAAGGAAGATCATGCAGGATTAATGTTAGAGCCTTACATATTTGCAGGATATGCATTGGAGTACACAGGCAGGTAATTTTTACTTATGACTCAGCATGGGACATGCTGTAGCATCACTTTAAAACAAGTGCATATACAGGCACTTCTATGGGTTCTGATAAATTTCTAGATTATCATGTAGAATTTTGATTATGGATGTCTATACAAATGTCAGAGGAAGGAAAAATGAAGCTATCGATATATAGGGAAATAGATCATCCTTTGTGTTGGATCATAATATTATATACATGATAAAGACGTGTATCATGACCAGAAGAATGAAACAGGATTGGTATAGTGTCTTAAAAAATTTAATTGCAATTTTCTTGGTTTTTTGCAGCATTTCTATAGTTAATAGCATTAACCCAGGCATGCCTGGTGTTCTATATGTCTGACAGCAGGCAGAGATGTGGGCAAAAATTTATCTCCCAATAGTTCATTGTCGATCAACAGATGGCACAAGTGGCACACAAGATCCAAGTAGTTCTTCAGTCTGTGTCTAGCAACTGATCAAGCTGCATCTATTCAAACAGCTAAGCAAGACATGTCAAAGTTCATAGTGTGTCTTATCTGGTGCTATGTCATTTTATGAAACATGTCACCCATACCCTATAGGAGCATAGAGTATTTTCCCCTCATTTGAAAAATGAGGAATAATGGAGAATTCATTTTGTGAAACTTTCATGCATGCCCCAAATGAACCTAATTCTTCTTAATGAACTCTCATAGCTAGATTTTTACTTGTTAAAATTAGTTTTTACAAGGGAGGAGACAAGGAGGAAAAGGCCACCTCAAATTTTGGATAAGTTTGCTATCCTTGGGATGCCTCCAAGGTCTTTTTCATTGTCATGCACTAATATAGTTTTAATCTTGATCCATTCATGGCTCTGACATTTCCAATGCACATTGTGGTGAAGCTGTATCATTCAATAGATGCTGCATAGTATGGGTAGAACCAATAGAAATTCAATAAGAGGAAGGCTAAGCAGTATGGCCTTTTCTTGTCCCTATCACAATTCACTTTCCTCATGTTTAATGTGCTTTCCTGCAAAGTCCACCAATGAGCACAGTGATGCATTTGAAAGTTTTTGTGTTGTATTTTGGTTTCTCATATCCATATTTGACTTAGAAAACCTGTTTTTGACTTTCTCATGCAGCATAGTGTTGCATTTGAATTTTCCTGTCACATTTACCTTTCTTACATCCCTATTTGACTTGGAAAACCTGTATACTTCAGCATTGATTTTTTTAGGGGGTGCATGCTGGATTCCTCTTCCCAATTTTTAGGGAGGACTATGAAAGATAAATTGAAGTCTGTGAAGTAGAGAAAAGTGGATCTTTAATATTTTATCAGCAGTGACATTTTCCCCTAGCTATTGAATGATTGATGAAACAAGCTCTCTTGAATTAAAAGAAAACTCCAAGACCCTCTGTTTGTTTTGGGACAAGTGCTCTCCTGACACCGAGTCCCAGCTGAGGACTCAGATTTCCCAGAGCTTGATGCTGACCCAAATGATTCACCGTCTTTCATGATTCTCAATCCCTTTCTCTCATATTCAAATGGGAAATGTGGTGCATTCACCTGAGTTATGTCCAGGCTGTGGAAACATAGAGAGTGGAATACTCTTCCTTTGGACTTGGTTCTTTTTTTTTTTTTCTTTAGTTGAGTAGGCCTTCCATAATCTTGAAGGATATATTTCTGGTTTTCAGTATCATAGTCTGGAACATACAACCATTTTTGTGCACTAATATCATTTTATCATTCATTGTAAAATCTATCTATAACTAAAAGTACTTTACAGATATTGAGTATCAGCCAAAGTGTGTTAAATTTATACCAGTGCAGCAAAACATTTGTAAACAAAATGTAAATGCTATTTCTGTTTTCCTAACATTTCCCCTGGAATGCATGTCAGTGGGAACCTGAATGATTGAGGAACACACAAGTTTTTCCTGGCCAGAATCAAATTCTGCATGATTATATATATTTTTAAATTTTTCTTGCAGGCCAGCTCTATCAGAGCTAAAAAATCTGCTGATGGAGCTCCAGTCTAGGAATGATCATGAGATTTCCCCCTCATCAGAGACCATGGCTCAACTGCAATATCGCCGCTCCATCCGCACTTCCACAGATCCATACAAGAAGTCTGTTTTCTTGCTGCAATCTTGATCTTTTGTGCATTGGATATGAAATAAGATGCAGAGACTCCATGTGTTTGCAGGGCAGTATGGTGTTCCTTGGGTGCATGTGACCCCAGTGATGACCATCGAGAGGTGACTGGATCCCGAATGGAGGATATCTTGTGGATCAAACTCTGCCAAGTCAGACCCAACCAACAATTGACATTTCCAGCCTTACAAGACTTTGTTTACTCCAAGTTTGGTGAGAGAAGTTGTGACTGTATTATTCACGTCTATAAATGTCTTGCAGAAGTTGGATTTCTTTCTCTCGTTTAGGGGAGGAGTGTCATCAAGAAGTGGAGTCAGCTCTGACCTGCTTTGCGGCATTTTTCCTCACTGGTCAGTTTGAGGCTGGTCTAAACCATGTGTTTCACTCGCCTGGGCTCTCGACTCATGCTGTCCACATTGCTCTTGCTCTACATGAGATCAAACTCCTTCGTTTACCATCTGACATTCAACTTCCCCTATGTAAGTTGCATCCAGGGCATTTGCAAATACCTAAAGGCTCCTCATATTAACTCCTGAGTGGCTTTATTTTCTGTGCTAATTGACACTGTTGTGGCTATAGAATTGCATAATACTAGGGTGGTTGAGGAGCTCTAGTTGCTTTTTCATTCCATTCCCACAGTCTTGTCTTATAGAGTGAGCATCCATTACATGTAGTTTAATTTTACAATCCATGATATGAATGGAGTCACATCAGTTAAGGTATGTTAACTTTCCAGACTTGGATTGTTGTTAAAAGTTTTATTCATGGTCTTTTATTTATTACACAAGGCTGGCAGGTCCAAGACCTATAATTGATATTTACAAGGGTGGTTCAAGCCATTTGCAAACTTGTTCTTTTAGAGACTTTAAACTTAGACTTAGAGATTTTAAAACTGGGTGCAAAAATGTGCTGGAGGACCTTGGGCTATCGACTCTGGTATTCTGGGATCACTCTGAGCTTATTTTGCCCAGAGGCTCTTTCCATCAACATTGTCTGGTACTGCAACGTCCTGCAGCTGTACTGGCAGCCATTGGCAAAAAAACTGCCCAGTCTGCTTTCTCATGCATGGAGTGCTCTTTCTACAAGAGAATGCTCAACTAATCATGGCCCATGAAACCATGGGAAAACTGGCCAGTCTTGGCTAGGAGTCTCTCGCACACCCACCCTACAATCCCAATTTAACTCCGAGCAATTTCCATCTGTTCAGGCCCCTGAAGGAGCACCTGGTAGGAAAGCAATTTGAATCTGGCAAAGCTGCAAAAGAGTGCATTCAAACAGTGAGAGTTTCTATGCTATGGGCATTCAGGCACTAGTGCACCACTGAGAAAAATGCTGTGATATAGAGGGCGATTATGTGCAGAAGTAGCTAGAGTTTGAAAGTTATTGCATTTCAGATAAATGCTCCAAGAAATAAAGTCCACAAATGACTTGAACCTCCCTTGTATGTCAAAATCATGAAATTTTTTCTAGTGTATTTAGAGCCTGGAGACACAGGAATGAATCGGCGACTCAACCTTGCACGCATGTTGCTTATCTACACAAAGCAATTTGAATTGTCACACCCATATGAAGCCCTGCACTATCTCTTCCTACTGAGAAACATGAAGAACTCACGAAGAGAAAACCTGTTTGTCAACTGTGCCACTGAGCTCATCAGTGAAGCCCAGGACTATGAGACCCTCATTGGAAAACTGAGGAGTGATGGCACACGAACCCCAGCTGTCATTGACAAATTCAAGGTTTTTTCATACATATTGAGTATTGATTGTTAGTATCCAAAGTAGGTACATCATATAGAGATTTTTCAGGATTATCTGGGTGGGATCTTGGAGATGGTTGCCCGGACTGCTGAAGACAAGGGCTTCCTTGAGGATGCTGTCAACCTCTACTTTCTTGCTCAGGTAAGAGATATTCAAATTTTATGTGCAAGTTGAATGCCTACAATTTTTCCATACAAGCCCTATGACCTGATGACAATTTTTTTAAGTTCTACTAAGGATGTGATTCTTTCTCTCCTCACATGCATTATCAAGTGCATGAGATAATGATTTCATTGTGGAATGCAGAAGGAAGACCGTGCCCTTGAGATTCTGGTGACACTGTTAAGTCAAGTGGTCCACAGGCAAGATGAGGAGGGTGGACCGCGTGAACGACTGTTAGGTCAGGCAAGAGAGGCAGAGCACCGTATTGCCACACATGGCTCCAATGCCTCTGCCTCAAATGTGTCCACCTTAAGGCTTCTTCTCCGCCTTTTTGACTTCTATGACCTCTTTCACAGCCAACAGCACACGCGTGCCCTCGACGTGAGTTCTTCTACCCTCTTTTCTTCCTTCTGCAAGGAATATTGGTGTGATGCTAAAATTCACTGTCAACAGACACTGAAAGCCTTGAAGTTGGTTGCATTGCAACGTTCAGAAGTGGAAGAATTTCGGCACACCTTTCGTGGAATGAGGCAGGAGGTTTGTGGGCTTGTCCCTGATGTCCTTCTAACCACTATGAACCTCCTCCATGCTCAGTACCTTGAAGCCAAGTATGTCCTGAGTTGATCATGATGAATATTTAATGGAAGTTTAAGAAATCAAACTTTCAAATGATTTTGATTATAGACCAAGCCAGGACAAGATGCCCATGAAGCAGGTGGATCGCACTCGACTAGAGGTAGCAGGCTCGCTTCTGCTGTCACCATGTCTCGATGAAGTCCTGGACTGTCAGTGCTGAGTGTGTGTTTGGTCATTTTCTTAGGAGCTGAAAAGGCAAGCTCAAGTGGTTCTGGAGTTCACAGGAAGTCTTCCATTCCACACACCACCAGAGATCATTTCTCGAATGATGCATATCAAGGGGCTTATGCTCTGATCTCAACTAGCTGACATCAAATACCAAGGTAATGAAAACAACCACCTCAGATTGAACACATATCTCAGGATTTATCAGATCTGCATGAAAAATAAACTCTTAAGCCTAACTCATGTATGGCATAAACATGGCAGAAAGGAAAATATAACAGTGATTCCCTTTGATTTGAGCATAGCATATTTGTACAACATAAAAATTGCTAAGGCACATCTCTAGGATTAAATGGTGAGGAAGATCCTTGTTCCACAATTTGATATGATTGCTTGGTTCCTTCTCAGGATGAGGCGGGAAGCACCGTGACTTCATGTCTAAGATTCTGCATGATTGTCCTCCTGCATGTGATGCAGCGAATTTGTACCTGGAAGTAAATTAATGGTTTCTTTGCAGTTGGCAGGTATGGCTGACTTATCAACTGATGGAGCAGAAGTCTTCCATTGGCTTTATTAGGAATAAATAAATGCTTTTTTCCATGGTCTCTTTCTTTCATCCTTAAAGCAATCATGCAAGTAATAAGTTCAATTGCTTGACATTTCAACAATCTTCATGTATGTTGTATGCCTAGGCTTTGAAATCATAAATTTATCTATTTTTAAATGTTGAGTAAATGCAAAGAGGAACTCTGAATCTATTTTAACAGCACGTTCAAGGTAACAAGTCCATTAATCCCTGCTCACCGCTTATTTCTCCCATAATTGCTACAATGGAGTGACTTCCAGCTGTAATAATGTGCAATTTGAAATGAAAAATAACCTGAATATGTTCTTATCATTGGAGCAGGTCTGGGTTAGGGGGAAAAATATGTAATTGCTGAGAAACTGATATCGGCAGCAAGGCACACACACAATTGATCTTGTTTGACTCAATGCCAGGTTTTAAAAATTCCATTGTACCACTGTGTTAGGTCCATTTTGTGTTACACCTGGTAGAAGGAATTGTAAACACAATCCAGCCATCCAAAATATGTAGAGTATGCTAATTTAAGTTACCATAACTCTACTCCATGAAAGTTATGTTGATCACTCGTGGAGGAAAAAATATTTGAGAGCCAACTTCACAGCCAGAAGATCCGAATTATGGAGCATTTCCATTCTCCCATTCTCAAGAGGGACGTTCAGGGATTTTTTTAAATTCATCATTATACTGTGACTTTTCAACTTGGTGAGTTCGACGCACTTCCTCCAGCATGGAATCAGTTTCCTTAGACCGTCAAAAAATTTTCTAGTGTTTCTCATCCACCTGTTTAGTGCAGCTTTCATTGAGGTGAATGAAAACGCACTCCTCACAGAGGCTTCTTCATCCTGTAGAAGAGGCGGTAGTCACTGGGCGCCAAATCTGGCGAGTAAGGCGGATGCGGGAGCAATTCCCACCTCAATTCTGCTATGGCTGCTCTAGTTATGCGCGCGGTCTGGGGCCTTGCATTGTTCTGCTGAAGAAGTGGCAATGAATACAACTTCCCAGGACGTTTTTCAATAAGAGTCTGTCGCAGAGGGCCCAAAAGGCAGATTAGAATAGTATTCTGCATTCATGGTGGTACCTTTTAGTAGGTAATCGAACATTGTCATCCCTTTGCAATCCTAGAGAACCGAAATAATAACCTTCCCCAAAGAAGGAACAGTTCGAGCCCTCAAATCGGCGCCACTCATTAGATCGTGATTTGGTTTCGGGATTGAAATAGGGAAGCCACGTCTCCTCTACAGTGATAACACGGCCCCGTCTGACAGAAACGTATGTCATACATATTCATGGAGAATCTCATGAGTCTTGCCGGTGCTGACCCCCAGGGTAGCAGCAAGCTCCCAAACGGTAACTCGTTGATCTTTCGTTGGAATATTTTCCGCAGCGTGAATTTTTTCGTCGGTGGTAGCCGTTCGAGGCCGACCATCCATAAACCGCTCCAGCCATCAGGAAACGGTGCTCTTCGATTCTGTAGATTCTCCAAAGACAGCCTACAGCCTCTGAACGATTTCAGAACCGCGTGTACCTTCTCTCCACAAAAATAAAATAATCGCTAGCTGAGCTTTCACCGCGTCTTCCATCGCTACGAAAAATACAACTGAACTGAGATGAATCACTCTGCTCAGGAGATCATTCGGGTAACAATATTGAATTCAATAATAAACAAGGTAAGCCTTTATCCGATACCTCTGATCAGAATAGGTTAAGCTCGATTTCCTCTTGTACTCTGACGGAATTCCCAGAACTTTCCGAACGTCCCTCGTAAAGATCCTCTTTGGTCCTTTATTATTCCACTGCCCCTCCCCTTCTCCCTCAGCATTGGTACTTCAGCTACTTCCATTAACATTACCATGCCACCAACTATTGAAAATGACATCCATTCATCGATGGATGCATCAGGACAGCCCTAGCTCTATTTTTTATTGCCGTCGAGGATCGATTGCCAAGCCCGTTCACGTATTTTTTAAATTTGCTTTTTCTTCGTTCTACACAGTCTTATTTGGACATCGGCACCAGCAGATAGCAAACCTGCCGATGGTGTCATACCGGCGGTTGCCAAAACATCGGTACAGCCCTAGAATAAAAAACTCTCTTTACCTAAGGTAAACCTAGTGTCCCAGGGCCAGTTAAAAATGAAAAAAAACTTAAGCCTACATACTGAAGTGAAAGACCGGAATATTGTCAAAACAGGCCACTTTTACAGCATGCACATGATGAAATAGAGCCGAAGGCTGAAACGGAAACAAAAAAATTATTGGTCATCCCTCCCTCTCCTTTCCCACTTCCTGTCTCTGATTCCAGCTTTTTTCTTTCCCGTCATATAGTCAGTCCCAGCATTTCCTGAATTTGATCTTGATAAATTGCAAGCCTCTGCGGGTCACGCCGCCTCTTCCTTTCCCCGCCCGGACGGACTATATTGTATTGTACTCTCCTCAATCCGATGAGACATTTCCCCTTCAAAATCGTTTGCCGATTTGCGATGGTCGAAAAAACTATCGACACCACCAGCCATCGATAGTGGTATCGATGCATCGACCTATCGTGACAGCCTTAGTTATACCATCGAAACCTAATGACATTGAATGTGGGAACTAACCTTGGTATGAGCCATGGAAGTGGCAATGAGGCACTGTTGATGAAAGACATGAAAGCATTTCTTTATGATGAGAACCGGAGAAGAGCGGGATGGGCGGGTGTGTTCTCCACACAGCATACATTGTTCCTCCAGCAAGGTGCATGCATGTCGCATGTGTCCACACACAGAATCTAGTAACTCCTCCATCTGCTTCTCTGCATCATAAAAATATTATCTTTTTAATATTATCCAAAATCATCACCACCATAGGTGCTTCAGAACTTTCAGACTGTGCGATATGTCAATGACACTTAGGGATTCCATCAGAGGTGTTAATGAAATGAAAAATGAAATGAATGAAAAATCTGTATTCATGTCAAGGACACAGTCATCCATCCATAACTGCAAATTTTACAACGGAGAAGGCTATTTAATTCAAAGCATTATTGGTCAGATGGATATCTGGTGAATGACTTCATGACTTAAAGTTAGCAATGTACTGGATAGGGTTTTGGCCAGATACTATGTATTGGATTCAAAATAGTCAAGCATGCAAGCCATCTCTTACTTTTTTTAAATGGAGGAAATCTAATAATCACCATTGTTTGTCCCCTTTCCCAATCCAGCAAACAGAAGACAGTTATTGTTGACAAAGAACAGAGATACCTCTCTTATGCTGATGAAATGCAATGCTGAGATATTCCAGTTACTTTGGTATCCAACCAATTTTCCCTTGGAATTTCAGTACTGTGATGCAGACAGCACATAAAATTAAAGAAAAAAAGTAGTAGGAAGATAAGGGGGTGGGTGAGGGGAAAATCATATAGGAAGCCAGAAGAAACATCTTGGTAGGCACTTGGAAAGGCTACAAGGAAAAGAAAATTGTCTCTAATGCTCCTGGACTCTACTTTTTTTCTTCATTTTCCTCTATTTTCCATTATTTGAAGTTGACAGTATCTTCTTACAAGTTAATTTGGCAAGGTAAACTAAATCTCTGCTGTGAAGGATTCTATATATAAATTACCTGACTGGATAAGATATTTGGCCAAGTGGCTATGCACAGGATAATAATAGGATATTACTATCTGCCATGTGGCAGTAGTCTTGGCTGTCACATTGGTAGTCTTACTTTTAACCCTTTCCAGTTCTGTCAGGCAGAGCATGACAATCAGAAATAAAATCAATTAAACTAGAATTGAAATACCATTGGTTTCAGACTTCTGAAAAATTTACCATAGACATGTGAGCCTCAACAGAAGAATTGTAAGCATATGAAAAAAAAGAATAAGATCTATAGATATAAATTGTAATTTGAGCATTGTAAATTGAGACATGAAAGACCAACCTTGATTGAGCATGGAAGGAACAAGGAGATCTTGACGATGGGGACTGGGGCCTAAGCTTTCAGCATCTACAATGAAATGGATATCATCCATTGAACAATTCAAACTCAGTGAAGTCTCTAGCTCAGCATGCGACTGACAACAATGTAAAGAAGTAGGAGACACAAAAATGCTGACATAGCAATAAGGAAGTATTTAAGAGATTAAGCATTGGACCAAGTTCACTGTTTGCACAAAAACTTGACTGAATTTTTGGTTCTATGGGACAAGGACAGAATAAACCCATACCTGAAAGTACAAAGTAAAATATCTTAAGGTTTATTTCTGAGATGGAAGAAGACTTCATTTCATTTTTAAAAAAGTGCATTAAAACTTCTGATACATCATAACTTTCAGCTAAAGAGCGTTTAAGGCGTGCTTGTGTTTATTATTTAGAGCTCAAAATATAATCAGGAATACAATGTAACATTTTTGAGAGGGCAGTTTGAAGGGAATGATCCCCTGCTTTTCTAACCTCCATGCACTGAATGACAAGGTCACAGAATCTCAACCCCAAACTAGGTGCTATGGGCAACAAATCAGTCTTTTTTTGTCAAAATCCAAGTCATCTCAATGCTTTTCCATATCCTGCCCCAAGTAGAACCACAACGATATTTTTCTGGAAAATTCCTTCAAGGCAACACCCTTTCTTCACTTATAACATGGTATTAGGTACTTGAGTGCTATTGCAACTTTTTGTCTTCTACCTACATCTATCTTACAGTGTAAAAAAAAAAATCTTTGGATGTGAATGCAATGAGTAAAACCCAAGGAAGCTATTCATGGTTGGACAGAAGCAGAAGAGGAACTTCTATTAGCATACTTAATTGCATGCTATTATGAGATTAATTAGCATAATTAAGCAATGAAATCCAAGTTGGGAAGTATGTCAAACACATACGAGTTGCTAGGGCAAGAAATTCATTTCGCATCAGATTAAAATGAAGATTCAAGGCAAAGGACTGATCTGCAGAAAGTCTCCTGCTCCTTGCAGAATGTATCATTTTTTCAAATGCAGATATACACTGCATATTATTTTCCAAATAAAACACACAAACATACAGTGAAAACTCGTTAACTCGAATCCTGATAAGTTGAAATTCTGCTTATCTCGAAGTTTGAAGCTTGGTCCCGGCGGAACCCCGTAGGACACCATGTTAAATGCTCCGTTTAACTCGAATTCGCTTATCTCGAATTTCCGGATATCTCGAATGAAATTTTCACTCCCGATAACGAATTTCTCACGGTTAACTCGAATTCAGGGTGAGAAGGGGGGAAAAATTT